TAAGAATGCCCTTAATGTAACTCTTGGTCCTTGTGGCTGTAATTTAGTGGCTGGAAACAATGAAGAGGAGCCGTTAGCATGTGACCAGCCAGATCCCCAGAGGCTATTGTCAAATGCTCTGGGAACCACCGCCTGGCAACCCTGTAACCCCCACTAAACCCCAAATTCACAGCTTCCCCAACAAGCCTCATTCCAGAGCACAGCAAGGAGCTATGAGCATTTTTTTATTACTATTTATATATTTATTTATATTTGTATATAAATGAAAAATCTCCATTTGGCACGTGGTCTGCTCACCCGGTCGTCTGCACAAAGTATTATGCAGATCCTCTTGACATCTTTCCAAGGGTAAAACCCAACAGCCTGGGTGTGCGTGACATTTCCCCGTCTGATCTAGTCGCCACACATGCACAGAGCCACCATTATGAAATAGTAATCTCTTAACCTTTACTAGTAGTAGTTCCTGTTTCTGCATCTGCCATGGGTTTGTTTATTTTTGTTTCCTGCTTAAGTGACTGTAATGAGATTTTATGAGTTCTCAAGGCTTTTTATGGGGCTGTCAGCCTCTCACCTCCACTTTGTTGTGCAGTACCACCACCATTTGTCTAACTTGGTGAGTTTATCGTGGTGTCCCACTCCAGCCTGTTCCTCCGGTCTGCCCCTTCAAGAGAGGGCTTCCTTTTTCAGCAAGGGCTTAATAGAGGCCTCTGAATAGAGAAAGCATTAGACAATAATATGGAGGCATATACAAGTGAGAAAATACTACGTTACTGCATCCCGGAGGAAAGCTGATAGTCGGTTACACAGCGCGCCTGAAGCAGCCCATTCCCAGGAGGCTGTTGTAAGAGGGAGTTAAGTGGAGGATTTCTAGATGCAGAAAACGTCAGGTTGAAAATGACACTGCATGTCACAGCTGCCACATGCGACCCCAGGCTGCGCTGCCACAGCTGCTGCCCCCTCCCATGGCTTTCGTTACCAACCCTCCCCACAGCTGGAAAGCCACCTGGGTCACAAAGCGTTGTCATGACGGGATCGCACACCTTGGGACCTGGGCTCAGAGCCTGGACCCGATAGTCATTTGCTCTGCGTTTCTGGGTTGGTGTTCAAGGACTACCCTTTTCACAGCTGCACGGATACCTACGCATCCTTGTATCCATCAGCAAACGCCAGGAGTGGAACAAGGGCAGGAGCATCATAACCCAGCCACCCGATGTCTGATCTTCGGAAGTGCCAGGTACTCACAGATGCTCTTAGAGCTAATGGAAACCACAAGCCCTTTGCACCTTGGAAGACCTGGGCAATGAACAGCAGCAGCACAGCATATCCCAGGGAAGGCTTTTGCACGGTGAAGTTTCTTCTGTATTCTGCTCTGGTGGATAACAAGGGCTGGGTCTCTGAGGCCATGTATACGGCGTACGTCCTCTCTTGCTGTTGTTTGAGAGGGCCCAGAAGATTTGACAGAGAGACTGCAGTCTAAAAGTCTTAGTTTTCTCACTTTAAACATTCAGAAGGTATGAGTTAAAAAGTATTTATTTGTCCCCGGGTACTGTTGCAGCTGAGTGCTGCAGACGTTGGTTTCGTGGGCACTCCGCATGCAAACGGGACCGTTGGGCACTTCTAAAATAGCATCCCCATAATGCTGTACCCACAAATACAAAGGGTGGTCGTAAAGAAAAATTCCGCCTAAAGCAAACCAAGCACACTAAAGTATATAGACTGTACATTAAAATAATTTGCTTTGAATGTATTTACACAACATTTACACACAGATTTGGACAGGGGTAGGAGATTTATTGTGATCACTTCTAAAAGGCTGATTTTAAGTGTTGCTACTCAAAAACTATTCATAAACCAACCAACACATACATTAGGAGTTCTAGATAATAAATGTAACACTATATACCCAGGGGAAAACCTTTCCTGTTACCTATACAAACAGAACTCCTCTTATTCATAGAGATAGGTCTCAGTTCTAGAAATAATTACGGTGAAACTCACATACAAAGGTACACTCATTGATATCAACTGGTGAGACTTACTTGCATTACCAGTGAAAAGTTTGCTTAATAGGAATTACCTGCTAAAGACAAAGCATATATAAAGTAGGTAACTTTGTATTTTGTTCACCGATTTGTAGGTAGAGATACAAATGGTACTTGAATGAGTATCACTCAAGTTAAGCACCGTTTGAGCTTGCTCCTTTATGGAGAAGGAAAGGCCTGCTTTCTAGTACAGGTTTTATAAAGTGGAGTTTGAAAAAGCACACCGGAGCTGCATGCTTCATTTACTGTGGCAACAACTGCATTTCATCTTGCCTTCAGACCAAACAAGGTTTTCCAGCTCTCTTTCCTGGAGAGATCTATTCCGAGCAAACACAAAACTTAGGCGGATTAGTTTTCAGAATCGTTTTCTATTTAATATTTCGACATAAGAGCTCAAAGTTTACTTATTTAACTGAATAATATTTACAGAACGTAATGAACACTGTGCCCATGTTTTTCCTGTTGCTACCGTATAGCATAGGCTGGGACACAATCATGCCAGCTTGACATAAATCCGGAGGGTTTGGTTCCAGAAAGCAGTATTTTAGCAGCAAGGAAATGACTCCTCTTTATGTAAGACAGTTCCCTCTTGTGGATATTCTGTGTACAGTATCACAGAAAAAGTATTTATTCATCAAACCTGGATCTTTGCAATTAAAAACCCCCTCCATTCAGCAATGATCTCAACACACAGGACAATCTTGGTTTTAGCAATTAAAGATACAAGTAAGGAAGAATGAGCTATTGCATTTAATCAGATGTAATTTACCTGCAAAATTGCTCATTATCAATAACAAATTATTTCATTAAGTGCAATAAACACAACAAAGCTAAAGGAAGTTGCATAACTGCACCTGTATAAGTCAAGTGGAAATCACAGTGGGTTTTTTATTTTGCTTATATGAGAAAACCTTCTGCACATTCCAATAAAGCAAACCGCGATTAAAAAAGGAGGAAAACATTCGCTACGTAAAGAAAGGAGCCAATAACGGCAAAACGGTCAGGATTTCCAAGGGTC